CAAATAAAACTGTCAAAGTGGCAAGTATTTGTAACTGGTGGAAGCAATATATTGCATACCCTGATCTAAAGCATAAAAGTACCCTCAAAGAAGACAATGAAAAATGAATGCATGTGATTCTGATCCATAAGCAAGGTAAATACCAATTCAAGTTTATATAGAGTGATCATTACCAGAGCATATCAAAATCCAGAACTATGCATGTTTCTGAAAGTTGAGTAGCTATTTGATTTTAAAATATAGATCTACCTATGTTTTTAATCTGTTCAGATATACTGGGTTGTCCATCAATTATGTCCAAAACCACAAGTTGTCCAGGTACCAGTAATGTGACCGAGTAAAAGTACCTGAAATGCCATACCAATGCACTCCCCTTGTTCATTAAAGGCTGGTCCCCCACTGTTTCCTAAACAAAAGACCAGGACAACAAATCAGCTCATCATTTCCAGGAATTCTGGTAAGGACGAAGATAGGTCAATGCTCTAAATATCATCGTATAGCAAATAGCAGACTAGTGAGCCTTTTTTTAAGGCGGATGCAAAGGACAAACCAGGATTTATGGCTGCGTCAATTTGAATGCCAAGAAGATCTGATGTCCCATGTGCATATGGAGTGACCTGGGCTATTCAAAGGAAACAGTGTAAGTTCAATCATTCGGTTGAATATATATCAAATATAATTATTAGAGAACATTTTCAGAACAGTGCTTCGCTTTCTCAATGTATCTAAAGCAATGTTGTATTTGGGCTATCTTTCTGCATACAAGTTCAACATGAAAAAATAAGTCATTTGACAACTAGTCACTTTTTATTTCATTCTTTTGGAAAATAGTAACTATTTGAGAATTGAAGACCAAGATGATTATGGCTACACCTAACCAGATATAGAAGACGACAGCAGTATATGACTGGAGAATAAAAAACGATGGACCAGTCTCCCAAACAAATGAACTCAGAAGTCAGAACTGATCACAGGAAGTCAGGAATCAATGAAACATAGCATAATTTGTTCTTAATCCTACCAACATGCACTGGACAACTAAAAAGGAGCATGGGATCAGGTGTAACATTTTGGAGAAATGATACAGCTACTGCATCCTGAACCGTGACTAGGGGCTCATGTTGTGTTTCAGCTCTAGCCTACCCCAACTTGCTTGGGACTAAAAGGCTTTGTTGTTGTTGTTGTTATACAGCTGCTGCATGCAAGAAATATCATTGCTTTTCTCCTCGTTGAGGCAAGAGTCAAATGAAAAAGACAGATACAGAGAATTGAAGCATCCAAGATATAGCACCTCAATGCGTGATACAACGCCTTTTGTTACTGATATAGTGTCTCCACCAAGAGGATACCCCACAACAGTTACTGAATCCTGTCATAAGTTTGAACATAAGAGCAATGTTATACAGCATGAAGTAAATGTGAAGTACTTTTTCATATATAACTAGAAACAAGCAAGAGCAAATAATGACTTCAGCTCTGACAGAAACTTTTATGGTGTTCATGTGCTATTAACAAGCACTACATGTTACAGTTGCAAGTTACCAAAAAGTTGCCTGAACTATAGTTTTAAGCGTTTAACTGTACCTGTGGTGACTAGCCAGAGAGGGTTAAAACCCAATATTCACATTACACAGATCATTAAAGGTCCAGTAAACACATCATGACGATAATTGGTTACCTGAAGGCATGGCAAACGACCAAAATGAAGTGCCTCTGTTCCTCTCCAGAACTCTTCATTCTCAACAGATAGCAATGCAAGATCACATTCGGTACCCCTAGCTAAAACCTGTAAATCACTTTGTCAGTTGACTTCTTACAAAGTCAAGTTTTATAAAATTAAATAAAATAGTCAAATACCTTGCTCAAAAGATTCCTAAGCATATGTGGTAACTTTTAATGTTGGTCTCAAAAGAGTAATATTGAAAATTAGAAAAATAATTACAATTGTGGTTCTTTTAATAATTCCCAGGTCCCAATGGTGGAGCTTCCAATAGTCCAGTCCCACCAGTACAGTCGAATATGGTTGAAAAGCTAATTTGACTTGCAATGGATATTAGATGTAAGAAAATGAACAGAAGACAGACTTAGGGATCCAGGGTTTAAGCACAAATCTTGTTTCAGATAATTCAGATTCACAATAAACTGATAGTTACCTTACTTCAAGAGAATTTCAATGTTCATTGCATAAACATTTTGATTAGCACTCAAAAAAAAAAAGATATTTTGACAAATCTTGAAAGCAGCATTGCTATAGGTGATTTACCTTGGCAATATACTTTTTATCATCTCCCCTTCTCTTTACTTTGACCTGCAACGAGAAGCAGCCTTACCTTAACAAATTAACTGACATTCCTAAACTCTTATCCATAGAAAAACTAATGGTACATCGATATCTTCAACTGCTAGTAGCTCAAAATTTTAAATCAAAATAGTAACAGAAAAAGAGAGTGACAAACCGAAGTAAAATAAAAACATGAAGAGATAAAGCTGCCCAGTTGAATAATCACCTGGGTGTCGTGCTCAACGCAATGTGCATTTGTCAAGAGTTTGCCATCCCCAATCATAAAAGCACTGTAAAATGACATGTCATGTAAGATACACAAAGAGCTTCTAAGTTCAAGACATGTGAAAATCATAATCTTCAAAATGAGTGGCCTCATCCAAAAGATATGCAAAAATTTCAAAACATGTAAGGTAAGAATATCTGTCATAAGATAAACAAAGGTACCAAAATCAACTAATGTGATCACAAAAGCCCTAGCATGTTGATGACTAAAGCAGGATGCCTATCACAATGAAAACATCATTATGTTTACAGCCTTAGTCGCAAGTGGTCTAATCAGTACAAGAACGGAAATGCTGCAACTTAATCTCTACAAAATTATGAAATCACTTATTGCATCATGATAATTTATATTCCACACCTGCATACATCCCCACCCACCTAGAAATGCACAACAGATGAAATTTTTATATGGAAGAAGTAAAATCAGCAATTGAACCAGATACACACATGTTATATCAACAGTTCAACACTTACCTCCCACTACTTGAATGTTGCCTTTGCTTCTGCCAAGGAAGACCATAATCGGGTGCGATATGAGTGCAGTAGACCTAACAGGAGAGAAACTACTTCAGGTGAAAAGGACATGACTAATCACAAAACAAAGCAAAGTCTTACTCAACAGAACAAGATCTTTGAGCAAACTAGAGCCCTGTGCTTGACATAATATACTGAAAAGGAAGTTGCAATACGAATATGACAAAGCAGTACTTAGCGCACACATGAATATATCTTGATGAAATATAGACTACTATAATATGGAAAAGTAAGCATTATCAATAGCCAGGGGCACGTATTCTTGAAGCCTACCTTGACAACAGCATTAAGGAATTTGTCCTCTTCAAGATCATCAAAGTCAGCAACCTGATGTAACCGCACAGTTAGCATAAGAGAAGGTTTGTAAGATTTTGGGGCAACATTTAATCAAGCATACATGTGGATTGCAGTGAAAAGGAGGAAGAAGAAATGTACATGGATGAAGATGGGTGTGTTTATTAGCACTCACAGGTGCATGGGCACATGCATAAGATGATGAAAGAGTATAAAACCACCATAAGAGATTCATTCAGACTGAAGAGAGCATGGTTTATAACTGAGGCGGTGAACTTACAAAAAAGAAAGTGCAAACTGACTCAAATCCAGAATGGAGAAGTGCAATTAATAGTTTGAACAGACGACACCCCACCCTCAGGCCACAGCATACAATCCACACAGACGACAATGTATAGGGTAACCCAAAGCACCCAGCCAAACAACAGTAAGCATGTTGACATGGAAGCAGAAATGAAGTGAAATATTCATCCTCGCTCTAATTGCCATTGATTCTACTCTGGATGCAGAGGCTGGGATAGATTCTACTCCATCATGTAAAAAAGCTAACTGGCACCCTCATTCAATTTGGAACTACAGCTGTTAAGCAGTATTCAATTCTCTAGACTAGCATGCACTGTGCAGCCTGTAAAGTGTAAACCAAACAGAGAAAAATGGATGCGCCTCGGACCTGGGACTCCTTGAAATCGACGGCAAGCCCCCTGTCTCTGCGCGACGACGACGGCTGCGACCCCCCCGCGCCGCCACCGCTACCGCCTCCCATGCTGCGCCGCTTCTTCGACACCCCCTCCACCTGCGCGCACGGACACCCCACGCCCACAGGCAACACAGGAGCAAAGTTTCAGTCGGCGCCGCACCTTCCAGAGAAGGAGAAGCACAACTGGCAGTCGCACCGCGCGCGTCGGGCAAGAGCCACTGACAAAGTAGTGAGACGCAAGGTACCTCGTCAAAGCGCCGGAGCGCGCGCCGGCCCCGCGGCTGCTGGCGCGGCGCGCGGGCGACGACGGCGGGGCGGAGGCGGAGGCGGCACGAGCAGGAGGCCGAGGCCGTGTACGAGGCGGTGGAGGGGAAGGGGAGGAGCGCCGGGGAGGCCAAGAGCGCGGCGACGCACGCCATTGCTGCGGCTGGCGACGCGCGTGGTTTGATTTGGGTGTTTGTTTCCCTCCCCTACCTAGAGACTAGAGAGTGAGCGGCGAGCTCTTATCCTCTATAGGCTTTTCGGTTAGTGCGGGTCACGTGAGATAATTATATCTGTTTCTGGCCCAACAAGGCAAACAATCTACACGGCGTGTTGTTGAAATGTGCAGAATATATGTCGGCATTTGCAAGCTCAAGTTCAGATACCGTAGAAGGATCTTCATGTGCAGCTAACAATAAACAGAAAGTATTTCCAATCTAAGAAATGGTATAATGTATGACCACTCATCATCAAAACTTTTGGTAAGCATTCAAAACCCATGAAAGGTCTCTTGGAGAAGCGTTCTAATAACAAGGCATCAATCTACCAGAACGGTTCTCTACAGAAACGGCTCATCCTTTGTTTCTCTGAAGGAACAAGCAAAAACGAGAACAGAGGATTAAAGATGCCCAGAATGGTCCACAAAGACTACATCAGAACTCCAGCAGTATTGTCAAGCGCCTTCTTTGCAATCTTGAGTTTGCCAGCCAAGTCCTTCCCAGTGTCCTCGGCCATCACATGCTGCTTGATGAACAGCACAATGCCATCCCTCAATATCTCGAGCTCCGGAAGACCGGCGACACGAGTAAAGACATTCCACACCCGTGCGTCATCTTTCTGTAGTAAGGTCTCAAACAGCATCTGGAAATGTGAGATCCTTGCTGGAGTCATCTCCACTGGGTTGGCCAGGTTAACCACCTTCAGAGTTGCGAGGGAGAGCGTGAAGTTTGACAGCATCTCTGCAACTAGTTTTGCAAGGTTCATGGATCGACTTGACTCCATATTATCTAGCTCCTTAAAATGGTCCCAGATGCAGTACTGAACAAAGTAGAAAACAAATAATCAGAAAGAGAGCCTTTGATCACCACCTATGCTGAAAGCAAGGCTGCAAGCACTACAAGTAATAGCTAGACAAGATTCTTTCCAAATCCGAATTAGTCCATGTAAGCTACCATCTGGCAATGCTAATGTGGTATTAGCACCATACCAATATGAAATATATGAAAAACACAAGTTGAAATTCACTGACGTCTTGAGCTATCATAATAGAATGTCGATTCATACTAAATTCGTTTATTTCAGAAAGGGGTGGCCTAAAAATGGATACACGTAAAATAAATCCACATAAGCTACCTGAGAAAAAGTAATTTCTGAGCCAAACAAGCTTTAATATAAATACCAAACATGATAAATACAACAATATACCTGCAAGCTGAACTTGTGATTTTTCTCATGGTTGCATAGCTTGGAAGCAAGGACTGTGTAATACTTATTGAACATCTTCTCATGCAGACAACAGTCAACAATGACCCTTATAATTTCTCGGTCCTGCATATCAAGCACAGGAAAAGGCATACATCAATAATATTGTCAAATACATGCACAACAACTAATCGAACATTGATGCATGCCTGCTTCCCAGAAAGGCCCAGCCTCAAGAGCTTCTCAAAAGCATCTACATAGTCTTCAGCACTCATTATAATACAAAAGATTGCTCTTCGTATGTCAGTGTTCATCCGCTGAGCAGCTGCAAGCTGAAGAAGTTTTTGTGTCTCTACAACATCCTTGCTTGTAACAGCTGCAACATCTTCGACATTAGCTACTGTGGATGGAACATCCCCAGACAACCACCATTGCCCTTTCTTATCAGGGTCCAAAAGCCTACTCCATGTTAGCCCACCCAAGAGGACATCTTCTGCCTTAAGCTGTCAATATGTAAAAAGGAAAATAAAATAAAATAAGTGTTAACTGCATTCTGAAATCACAATTCATAACACAGATGATGGGCAAGTCATTCTGGTTCAAACCTTTTGAAGCCACTTTTTTATTCGAGTATGGTGTGAAGGATCCTCTTTAGGCCTTTTCTTATTGTTCTTAATGTCACATATGGTCTCAAGCATAAATTCCATCTGAGCAGTAAGTGAAAACCATTCAGACAAATTAAAAACCTACGTGGAAAGTGATGCTTCTTAAATAGGTGCATTGAACAACATAAACTTACTCTTCTGCTACGTATATCAGTCTTCCCATCTTCTCGAACACCAGAGTGCAATTTAAGCTGATTCACAGAGTTCTGAATACTAAGGACAAAATCTTTCATAGTACCTGGATCATCTCCCCTCAGCTTCATTCCACAGCCTGCCCATTTAGATGAAAGCAAACTCCCAGCTTCACTCAGAGACAGAAAAAGAGGGTACGGTACTCTAAACATGAATAGTTATTATGATGGTTAAATGTTTCAGTTGAGTTACTATTGAAATGTGATATAACACCATACACTGTAGGATGGTCAACACTGTAGAGACATCCAGCTCTGTCAAGCGCTTGCTCAGAATCGACAGAAGATCATACACAAGATCGTTGTTAATATCGGACAACAGGATGCACTAATCAATATTATGAGAATTTATGATTGATGTGGCTTTAAAACATATTATGTTGTTCCATTCGAATCACAAACCTTGAGATGACACCAAATATACACAAATAGCAGAAGAGTAAGGTAAGATTTCTCAGAGATAGACCATCTTCTTTTGAGTACTCATCCTGCCACAAGAGAAACACAAATAGTATCAGCTCAATAAAAAAATCCATTAGGATCACCATACCAAAGAATTCAAGAATCCTCGAGGTAAGCAGATATACAGAGAACATAACAAGTCATATTTATCTTAGTAATAAGAAGAGTGATACCTCAAACGACTTAGCAATAGAGGCAAGGATCTTGGCACTGAAGTCAATACCAACCAAGCATGCCATGCCTGCAACAAAGGCTGCAAACACAGCAGCATATCTGCAAAAACAACAAAGCATTAGTTTTGCAGTAGTAAACTATATCAAATTCTGACAAGACTGAGACTATCATATTCATACGAAAATGGGGTTTGTAACAAATACACTAAGTGCTTAATCAATCTAAAGAAAAGATTTATATGGTTGATGAGAGACCCTTAACTGTTCATTGCCGCGAGGTCCTCGGGAATAACTAGCCAAAACTTCATCCCCGATTATCTGAGAGCCAACACTTCGTGGAACAGACTGTGATAGATAAAGCAACAAAAAACGGAAAACAGTACCCCATGGTTAATCAAGACCCGCAAAAAAATATCTGAAAGACAGGTGGTAGAGAAATATCAGAAGAAATGAGAGATCTTGTAGTCTAGGGTTGTACTCGAAAAAGCGTGGCAATTTCCTGAGTAATGGACTCCACGTTTGACTCTGAAAGTCTGTTCAGAAGTCCTGATGCATAGCAAACATTAGGTCATACATGGGAATACACTCACAAACTAAAAATGATAAATACATGTGGCAACAATCAAGTAAATATAAGATAGAATTTAGGCTCAAACCTCTTACTCTGCGACGCATCTGGGCAATTTCTTCTGATTCTGAATTGGAAGCATTACTCAAACTCGGAGGTACATACTTCCCTTTTGATTCTGTGGGCAGTTCAACCACATTAGGCTCTCCATCCTCAGATTCCAGAACTGCTCCACCATTCTCTTCATCCATGTCAACACCTTCGTCATCTGGTTCGTTCATCTCTGAGTCATCCTCATCTTCTTTTTTCCTTTTCCGACCGTTCTCTTCACCCACATCATCCAGTTCCTTCGTTTCCATACCAGCCTTCTTCATCTTCTTCTTCTTCTTTTTCCGACCATTCTCTTCACCCCTATCATCTGGTTCCTCCATCTCTGTGTCATCCTTCTTCGCCTTCTTATTTTTCTTTTTACCTTTTTTCTTGTCTAAATTAGTGTCATCCGCCACATTCCAATCATATGCTTTTGTTTCATCATCTGAACCAAAGTTGCCACCAAACCCAAGGTCTGCAAAAAGTTCATCCATACCATCATCCGGACCTCCCAACTTTCCTTTCTTCACCTTGAGCTTTTTCTCAAGCTTCCTCTCCATCTCTAGATCCTCCTCCATGCTCACAGCTCCACCCATCTCCATCTCAAAGATATTCCTAGAAGTTGGACTTGGGCTTGGCCACCCATCGCTTCCCTCTTTCTCTTCTTCTCCTTCATGCCATCGGGGCATAGAGATGGCCAATGGTCGGCCGGGTGACGGGCCCATGCTAGGCACGCTGACACGGAAGGGCCCATCGAGCCACCGGGTCGTGCCGCACCATCCATCGTGCTGGCCGGCCGGCGGCGTGCACGGCTTGTCGGGCCAATTTACATGCGCGGGCCGGCCCGATGAGCTCGGCCTTTTTTTAGCAGGTCGGGCGGCCCGAGGCCCACCTAAAGCGACTGCAGAGGAGGTCGGACGGGAGGCGAGGAGTGGAGGTGGTGGCGGCGGCGGGCGAAGCTTCCCGGTCGCTTGATGTTGGATCCGGTGGAGGAGGCGAGTCCGGCAATAGTGGTCGGATTCGGTGAAGTAGTCGGGCGGAGTTGGCGCCGCAGAGGGATGGAGGCCGCCTGCTTTCAAGCCGCAACGGGGGCGCGAGGAGGCGGCAGATCTCAGACGCTGGGGGCCGTGGAGGCGACGCCGCCGCCGCAGACTTGCTCGTCGCCGTCATCGCGCGAGGGGCCGTGGGAGGTGGAGCTGGAGGCGGCGGCATTGGGATGGGGGAGGCGGAGTGGAGTGGAGGTGGAGGCGGCGGCGTGGCGGGATGGAGCACGCGGTGTCGTGGCCGGCTGCCACGCTGGATGCGCCCACACTGGCCGGTGAACGAAGAGAGGGAGCAAGGCGGAAAAGAGCGATGCGCGACCATGAGTGGGGAGAGCCGGAGCGGGAGGGAGGAGGCTGGGAGCGGGTGCAGGGGAGGAGATTTAGGGTTCTGGGGGGACGGCGGACGGGGGGTGGGGGCGGCCGAGCGGAGCGGCCTAGCTGGCTGGCTCTTAGCAGGCCAGCTTGCCAAGCCATTACCGGGCCATTCGGTACAGGAGCAGGCCGTGCCGTGCCAGCCCACGGGCCTAAGGAGCGGCCCAAGCACGGCCTGCTCCCTCGGGCCGGGCCAGCCCAGGCCCGCATGTCACCGGGCCATGTCGGGCTAAAAAAATGGGCTTCGTGCCGTGCCGTCGTGCCTCGGGCTGCATGGACAACTTTACATCAGGCTCTTTCTTTGGCTTATTCTCCTCAACCGGACTTGGCTTTACTACTGGTATTGCCGGCTTCTTCTTTTTGCCACCCTAAATCAATGAATTTAATGCATCAGAATTAAGACAGTAAAGAAGGCAAAACAAGTTATTGTAGTCTTCCTTTCCAGGGACTTGGTAAACTCACCTGATGCTCAACCCAAGAGAGAAACCACAGCTTGTGCTTCTTTGATCTCGCTTCTTTCCGCCTCTCTTTCCGTGACTTCTGCTCTGATTTCCCTGGAACAAGCACCAAAAGAGCAAACAATCAGCATACATTATTGCAGTAGCAGAGTTCGTTCATCACAGAGCACATGTATAAGACTCGAGGAAAAAAAAGCCCTTACCCGCCATGATTACTCTAAGTGCTCCTGACGCAGACTCAATTGAACCTGCAAATTGGGCAACAAAAGATCACTAATGGGCAGGGGCGGACATAGCAAAGGGACATGGGTGTACACATGACCCCCGATAATAATTGCAAAAAAGTTCGAAATTAGGAGGCATCAGATAGCCAATCAGCTTTAGTTAGGGTTTGGGTGCTCGACTTCGCACAGCAGGGAGACAAGAGAAGGGATGGGAATACCTGGTGGGTGCTCGTCGCCGGCGAAGAGACTGACGAAGGCCTCAGCACCTGGCATAGGACGGCGGCGGTGGCCCACCAGTCGTCGGAGAGCGAGAGTGGGGCGAGAGAGACAGACAGAAACACACGAATGGAAGGAGGAATCGATGACGGCCGGCCGGCCTCGATCTGGGGTTGTTGTTGCACGGGAGAGCGCACCTCTGAGAAGAGGGAGGAGAATTCTGTGAGGGTAGGGGCAGCAAGAACGGTTCGGCTGTTTGGGCCGATTTCAGTTGTTGGGCCACTTGTTTTTTAGGCTGGAATGGGACAAAAGGAGGATGCATTGTTAGTGGCTTGAAACCACTTTAGCCCATGTTTTAGTCAAGAGCAACGTATTCTCTCTCAATCACTTCCTTTTTGAATGTGAGATTGAGAAACTATTTGTTCAGTCTAAAAACGTAGCTAAAAATTAGATTTAGTGCATCTAAACAAAAAAGGCTAATAGGTGTTTTACTAGTTATGTCGGGGTTTTGAACCGCCGACTAGTAAATTTGTATTTGTGTTTGGCCTGGATGGTGTGCTCGAAGGACACAAGGGATTATACTGGTTCGGGCTGAATGTCCCTACGTCTAGTGAGGTGCTGCTTGTGTTACCGACACTAAGTTTGCAGTAGGAGTTACAAACGGACGAGAGAGGAAAAGGATCCCAAGTCTCTGGTGAATGGAATTGAGTCTAGTTCTATTGCATGTGCTCTGGTCGCCGCGAGTGGTTTGGGAGTGTTCGAGAGCGTCCAAAAGCCTCCCCCATGTGGGGCGCCCTGATTCCCCTTTTATAGACCAAGGGGAGGGCACGGATTACACGAGAGAGAGAGAGAGAGGGAAAAGCAGAAAGGAACAAGGCCCTGGGGCTGTGTCGTCCTTCTTCTCCTATAGGCAGGTCCCACTGGTCATGCAGATGATGACGGAGGCATCTCCACATCGCGACCCTGTTCGTCACTGGTGCTACAGGCGGGCGTCGTCAGCCGGTCATGGCGTTCCATCCTGTTCTAGTGCGCGGCACAGTCAACAGGTTCCCTCGACGGGAGCCGTACGAGGATTAGGCAGCACAGTGTCGGTCCGCCTGGTGCTGTTGGTGACGTGCGTGCCTAGGTATGGCCCGTCGCGGCCATGGGTCGTGTCGAGGCATGCCCGTTCCCTTCCTAACATTAGGAGCATGATCCCGGGCCCACGCCATCACACCCGTAGCGGTTGGTGACAGCGTGGGCCCCCCGCGGGGGCCTGTGCCCTTGCTCGAGGCCAGAGGCGCTTCTAGGGATCAGGCGAGGTGGAGTCCTTCCTCGAAGGGTCGGGCGAGATGGAGCCCACGCCCGCGGGGGGCCCGCGCTCTTGCTCGAGGCCAGAGGCGCTTCTAGGGATCAGGCGAGGTGGAGTCCTTCCTCGGAGGGTCGAGCGAGATGGAGCCCACGCCCCTAGGGTCAGGAGAGATGGAGCCTGCACCCCTAGGGTCGGGTGAGACGAAGCCCGTGCCCTTGGGGTCAGGCAAATCAGAACCTTCCTCGGAGGGGTCGGATGAGGTCGCGGTTATACCCTTGATCATTTAGGTGAGTTAATGTTGATGATCATTAGTTTCCCTTCTCCAGGTACCCTAATATTCATACCCGACAGTAGCCCCCGAGCCTATAGAGGAGTTGGATACTTCTTCACAGGCTTTTTCATACGAGGAGACTCCGAAGTGCTAGCTCGCCTCTTGCGGCTCGTAGGGCTTCTTTAGTTAGGTTGTGATGATCGACCCGAGCCCCCGCATTGGGTCTCTTTGCGAGTCTGAGCCCCCGAGCCCCCGTGCGTAGCAGGGGTTCGGTCAAGGGATCAGCTCGTCTTGTGATCATTCTCCCTCAAACGTTTTCTCGAAAAAATGGAGGGGTTGGGCCGTGCCATGTTTTTATCGTTGGACGAATCATGGTGCTCGGTGAGCTGGTAACGGGCTAGTTCGAGTGGGGCCCTAGTTCCCGTTCATGGGATCCGGCATGGGTCAGCTGGTGACCGACTCTAGATTCCTAACAGCCAGTCCATATAGTTCTTAGTCCGTTCGACCGGTCCCGAGGGCTCGTCACCTTTCTTCGTGGAAAAACCATGGACCGTGCACTACCAAGACTCAAACATGGGTTAGGATGCCCACGACGCTCGTGCGCCTGGGTACTAGCCGCTAGCGGGCCATCCTTAACCACCCCTCACTCTAAGGTGCCCTCGGACAGTTGTGAACCCATCAATGGGCCAACTTTCGAACCCCTAGGCGTTAATGGGCCATGGGAGCGTTTTCAGCCCTCTATCCCTTCTTACCTATAACGGTTCGTGGCCCATTGGGAAGGGTGAACCACCATCCGACGCGTCCTTCAAGGGAGCGGCCAGGGGTGGCATGCGCATGACTCCCAATGAGGCACGATGATGAGACGCGGTAGGCGCGTGGATCAAGGCGGATGGTTCGCCTCTCGTTCCACCTTCCCCTATAAATAGAAGTCTTACCTTTTGTTTTCAGTGTGCCTAGCCGCAACCTTGTCTCCTCCGCTCTACCACCGCCAGCGCTTAGGGTTTCTCGCTCTCGCTCCTTCACCGCCGGTAGGGCTCTCGTTCCTCCATCCCTGCTTCCCATGGAGTCGTGGTACCATTCTGATGTTTCCCACACGCGCATGGAGGGCCTCGTCAAGCGCGGTCTTCTTCGCGGTAGGACCACGATGATGGAGTGGCTCGTGCCGGGGCATGAGGAGGTGCCGCCGCCACCCAACGGCTACATCGTGTCGTTCGTGCCCTTCCTCGAGCGTGGACTCACGATGCCTCCCCACCGATTCCTTCAGGGGCTCCTGCACCACTACAAGATCGAGCTGCAGCATCTGAATCCCAACGGGATCTAGCACATCGTGGCCTTTGTCGCGTTGTGCGAGGGGTACCTAGGGATCGAACCCCACTTCAAGCTATGGAGGTACTTCTTCTCTGTCTCCTTGCTCAAGAAAAGGGAGAAGAATGGGCCAGACCTGTTGGTGCCAATGGGGTGCGCAGGTATCCATCTCTGGAGCAACCGGGCCGCTGAGTACATGTCCCTCCAGCTATCAAGATCCAACAAGGGGTGGCACACATTGTGGTTTTACCTGAACGACGACGCTGTCGCCCCCTTGCCGGACTTCACCAGGCGCCTAATCAAAGAGGCGCCGCACGTGTGGGGGTGGGGCCCCCCGAGAAGGAGAAGAAGAGGATCCACAACCACCTCACCACCATCGAGCTCCTAAAGCAGCACGGTCTCTGTAGGACCGGCTTCATTGGGGCGTACCACGCAAGGAGGGTGGTGTCTCCGATGGCGCGTGCCCTCCCACTATACGAGATGACACCCGACACGTAGCTCACCAGGACGGTGCTCGCCCAGGAGGTGCTCCACGACTGCGAGGTTGCCCAACGCATCAAAGATGTGATGACGGAGGGCGATCTCGACTTCGTGTTCCTGATCCTAGGACACCCCACGATGCGGCCAGACACAGGTTTCGTCGAATTGGTAAGTTCTTTTTGGTTCTCTCTCCGGCCGACCCTCCGACCCCATTATTTGATTCTAGGAACTAGGATCTACAGGGGAACCTTCTTCTTTAGGGACTCCATCGCGCCGTAGCCAGAGCACGCTACCATGAGGGCGGCGAACCGCACCACGGATGAGCAGAGGAAGAGGGAGAAGGATGCGGAGAAGAAGAAAAAATAGAGGAAGGTGAAGGCACAGCTGGAGCGAGAAAGGCGATGCTAGGGCTCGAAGGAAGAAGAGGACAAAGAAGAGGAAGAGGAGGAAGAAGAGGGAGCATATGGTTTTGGGTCGCTCGTCCAATGGGACGATCTGGCAGGCGAGGACGAGCCGGCAGGTGGCGGTTTGTCCCATGCGGGACCCTTCTCATTTCATGAGGGGGAGGATGCACCCCTGGAGCCAACAGAGACGTGCCACTCCACACCGTCCGGGCCCTCCGAGCAGAGGGAGGGCTCGAAGCGGCCATGCGCCGATGAGGTGCAGTCGAGGTCATGTAACACCCTAGGTGTTTGCTACCAGTTAAGCAGTAGGTTTGAGCTCAAACATGACAAGTTAAGTGGTGATGAAGATGTCAAGATCCAATTTATGAAAATGAGACCCAACTTGAATTTGGATAACATGTCTTTGCTTATATGTTGGTCCCTTTTCAAATGTATGATTGAGTGATATTGAAGGTGCTTATTTCATGTGTCTCACATCAATTTCTATCTATATTGACCACTGGAAAAGTTTCACGAAGTTTGGAATCAAGAAGTCACCTTAAATGATAAGTTATATATTTGCCTGAATTGCACTATTAAGTGAATGGAAACATAGGTCATCAACCAAACCTTGCAACCTTGCCCAAAGGACTCTAATTGAACTCTACAACAAAAGTCATGAAAGGTTCATGTTGAGCAAATGTCACGAAAATGCTTCTAAAGTGTTGGAAAAGCTAGAAATGTCTTTTTCATGATAGGGTTTTGACCAACTATTTGGATTGCTTGCATGGCAGTGGAACCTAAATAAAAGTTGTAGTCCATCTCATGAAGAACAAACTTTGTTTAAGGATCAAGAGTTGGTTTGGTCCATAACCTAGTCAGATAGAGCTCTCAAGAATCAACTCAGTGATGTTTCGAAGCTCCAAAAATCGGCTAAGTGTTGGAACTGAAGTTTTAGTTTTTAGTTTTCGTGTAGCCATCTTTGGGGGATTTTAGTTTGCAAACCATGTCAAATTTGGCCAAACTTCTTTAATAAAAGT